GGATGAGAATCTGATGGTGTTCAACGCCGATAAATGCAAGGTTCTCCACCTTGGGAAAAAAACCCGCAGCATCCTTATAGGCTCAGCAGTGCTATGTTGGCTAGCACTATGGAAGAAAGAGACTTGGGGGTCGTCATTGACCACAAGATGAACATGAGCCTGCAATGCGATGCGGCAGCTAGTAAAGCGACCAAAACGCTGGCTTGCATCCATAGATGCTTCTCAAACAATTCCCGGGACGTCATTCTCCCCTTGTACTCGGCCTTAGTGAGGCCGCAGCTGGAGTACTGTGTCCAGTTTTGGGCTCCACAATTCAAATTCAAAAAGGATGTGGAGAAGCTTGAGAGAGTCCAGAGAAGAGCCACGCGCATGATCAGAGGTCAGGGAAGCAGACCCTACGATGACGGCTGAGAGCCCTGGGGCTCTTTAGCCTGAAAAAGCGCAGGCTCAGGGGTGATCTGATGGCCACCTACAAGTTTATCAGGGGTGACCACCAGCATCTGGGGGAACGTTTGTTCACCAGAGCGCCCCAAGGGATGACAAGGTCGAATGGTCACAAACTACTTCAAGATCGTTTCGGGCTGGACATAAGGAAGAACTTCTTTACTGTCCAAGCCCCCAAGGTCTGGAACAGCCTGCCACCAGAGGTGGTTCAAGCGCCTTCATTGAACACCTTCAAGATGAAACTGGATGCTTATCTTGCTGGGATCCTATGACCCCAGCTGACTTCCTGCCCTTTGGGTGGGGGGCTGGACTCGATGATCTTCCGAGGTCCCTTCCAGCCCTGATGTCTATGAAATCTATGATATATATTGGCAGAGGGAAGATGTAATATCCAATTAGAAGTATGTAGAAGTTGTGTTAATTCCCCTTACCCCACATACATTTTTAACATGTTTATGATGAAATGTAGGGAATTCTGTAAATGATATATAATAATCTTATAATTTTAGACATTTAGCTTAGCAGACTGTGACAACTTGGTAAAGAAGCAGTTTAAAATTTAGTAATATAATACTAGCAAAAGATAAAAAGCAATAACCACTATGATGTTGAATAGTGAGAAATAAGGTCAAATATGTCATTTTATATATGAGTATATTTTTTATCTTGTTGCTAATGTTGAGGTTTCATGTTTTATATTAACATTTATCCTAATGATAGTTTTTTCCAGTATATTAGATTTTTCTAGATCAGTACCTTGGCTAGTTGTATAGTTGTTGCCAGTATGCTTCCCAGTGTTATAGAAAGTTCAGTGACAGCTGTACTAATGTTTCTTGGGTTTGTTTGCTCTGATTCACTGAGCTCACTTAGTATTGGTGTGCATATTCAAAAAACATGCCTTTTTCTATTGTCAATACTTTAATTTCTCCTGGAAGAGTCAGTGGTATCTCAGGAGAAGCTATGGGATTCTCCTGGGAGAGTGAAGGTCTGCACATCCCATCCGTCCCGAGTTGTGGAATAGTGAATTTAACTTTCAAAAGAAAATCTCTGTTCTCTTTTCTATTAAGGTGAAAAAGTAAATGGGGAAAACAGACCAGCAGTAGTACAAAGAGCAAAGACTGGACAAATTAAAGTGTGTCTACCTTCTTTTACCCCTTGCATATGCATTCTTTGCCACACTTAAGGATTTTACAAAGAAGTATTTTTCTTACTGAATCCTTGGATTGAACCTGTATTTAGAGGTGTGATCATGATGGATTAGAGTTGGTTGTGTCTTCAGGGAAAAAGGGAGTAACAACATTTTTTTTAATGCATTTCTTGGCAATTTTTTTTCTTTTCTTTTTTTATTTTTCTTTGATTTAGGCAAAAGATTCATCACGAGGTAAAGCTTGTAAAATCAAGATGTTTGTGTTGATATAGAAGTGGATAATGAACTATTTATGTTGGAAACAGTTTTTCTGACATTTATGAACTTGCTTTAGTTCTTTCATACAATGAACTTCTCAACTATTTCTTTCCTTTTTCTTTTCTTTTCCTTTTTTTTTTTTTTTTTTCTTCAAACCACAGCAAGATCAGCTGTATACTTGGGCTGCAGTTAGCCAACCCACACATTCATCAGATTACATAGAAGGGAGATTTCCAAGGAGAGTACCGTCTGTGTGGCCACCGCCCAAACCTCCAGATGAAGAGCAGAGAGTCAAATATACTGAAGCAGGTATGACTTTTAAACTTAGCAGAACAAAACACTTTAACTTCAGCAGCTACTGTATTCTCAAAACTATGGAAAGTCTAACCGCTTGTTTAGTAACCTTAATTTCTGGTATCTGTTTGATGATTTTGGCATAAAGGTAGAAGTGATACCTTGTGTGAATTTGACTTAAAGCATATGTGTGGGTTTGGTTTTCACTGAACACCAAGATGTGCACTGTAACACATCAGATTTTTCTATGTATAACTTGTTCTTTGGTTTACATCCCATCCAGCCATGACCTGCAGCAATCTTCCCTTTGGGGTATGGACTACTCTTAAAGGTTACATGCTACTCTGAAGGTTATTAGAGAGACTAAAGTAACTTGTTTTCTTTGGGTTTAGAACACGCTGTGCTTATAATTTCAGATCCATTCTCAAGTTCCCTCTGCTACCAGGGGGAGCTTTTGTTTAGGAGTTTAATGGGTTTCAAGTGTTGTGGGGTTACTATACCAACTGTTCTGATGGGTTTTTTTAAGTGTTGATTTAATTAATCCATTATTCTTATTAAACATTGGCTAAAAACATGTATTTAAGCTGAGATAAGAAGGGACAATCCCTTGTTTTGCAGGGGGAAAAAAAAAGATTGCTACTAAAGAAAAATTGAAGGTTATTTTCAGTTGGTGGTGATAGGCAAATTCCACAGATCCAGGGAGAATTATTTAGTCTCGTACTAGCATCCAAGAGTTCGCAACATTCTCATGACTACCTTGGCAAGCCACTGACTGCTCTCAACTCTGTTTCCTACCACACTTTCTTACTTTCTTTAAGTTTAAGGAATTAGTTGTTATTTCAGCAGATCCCTTAATTGCTTGTAGGCTTTGGGTGGAGCTGATTTCAAATTTGCTTTGAGGTGGGACAGACTTCTTGGCCAAGGATATCTTGAGAATAAGACTGTGTTTATCACTTTGCCAGGATAGCCATACCACTATGCCATGCTGCCAAATATAGCTGGATCTAAAATGTTGATAAAGGGGATGCAGGTGGTGGTACATTATCATTTAACACAATGCATACCTTTCTCCAATTCCAAAGAAACTATTTTTTTATAAATATGCTGGAGACCTATGGCCATATTATTCAGTTTAAGATCCAAGCAAAAACAAATATAACCCAATTTGGGGTGAGGAGAGGAGGACAGTCTGCCAGCTCCAGACCTAACTTCTAGGCTGGCTTTATGCACCCCAACACATGTCTCCTATATAGTCCACCATATCCCCAAAGTACCTTTCATTTCCCTTTTCATGAATTGCCCCTGCTACCTAAATGTCCCCTAGCTCCATTCTCTCCCTTGTTGTTCCCACATTTACCCATAAATGGCTAGATGGCTATGCACCAAATTGTGCTTTGAGCCCTATCAGACCCTACCACCTTCCTCGTATCCCAGTCTGCCACCTCACTTCAACCCACTGCTCCCTACACAGATCCATCCCCATCACTCCCCAGCCCACCTGTGCCCTCATCATCCTTACACCCCACTGAGCCCTCCCCTGCGTCTCTGAAAACCCAAACCTTATTACCATCCTCACATCCTCTGAGCACTCCTTAACCAAAGTCCTTCTTGTTCCCAACCCCCCCTCAAACCCCATTTTATTGCCACTTTCCCTGCCACCCCCTTACCTCCAAACCCCACCTTCCCCTCAACCCTCACTACCCCATAATGATCTTCCTCCCCGCCTCAAGAAAAGTCCCTTCATGCCTGTGATTTCTCAGGTTCCAGAAATACCTTTTGCTCAGAACCCTTCCCAAACACTTTCCCCCAACGACGGGTAAAGGTGGAGGTCAGACTGTGACTGTTTCCCTCCCCTCACTGCTCCCCCCCCCCTCACAACATGCCCTCCACTGACCTCTACCCTCAATATACAGAAACAGGTTGGGTCAGGGAGCAAGGGTAGGGACTCATTTTAGCCACTTGCAGCACCCCTACCCAGGGACACCAACCCCTCAGGATAAGACCACACCAGTTTCATGCCTTTGTGGTTATGCTACTGAATCAGACTCCCATAGCAGTTAACCCAGGAGAGGGTTGTTTCCATAACTTATCTCTTCACCTCTCCTTTTCCCTCTTGTCTCTGACTCTGCACAGCTCAGGCAACCTTCAGCCTTGTCCCTTGCCACCCTGTTTCTGATTCGTTTTGGTTTGAAACCACTAGGAACAAAACTGCCTAGTACAGGTTCCTAGGTAGCAGCATACTTTTACTGGAGATGCTGAATGGATGAGCAGAGGAACATTGTCAAGAATAGATAACAGATACAATAATTGTAGAAGACAAGGTAGTTTGATTAGTGGAGGATCAAGGGTACCTATGAACAGAGAGATTGGCAAGAATCCAGTAGATAGTATTAAGTCATGAAGTCAATTGACTCCCTCAGCTCTGCTTGAAGAGAAATGTAGCTTTCCTCACTGGGTAATTGGTTTTATACTTTGAGTACAGCAGGAACCAAAGGGATGTGCAACTGCACTGCTGCCCCCTCCCTACTCCCCCTTGGATCCATCCCTGTTGCCCAAAGTGCTTCTAGTATGAATGCAGCTTATAGTAGCTAAATGGTGCCTTTGTCAGTATAGCTCAGTGTAGCGTTTTGCAAAGAAATAAGCTATGCCAGTAAAAAGGCAGTTTTGTGATCTAGCTGTGTCTTTATTAAGGCTTTTGATGACAGAGCTATGCCAGTCATGGTCTGAACCTCCTCTTTTCTTCTTCTGACTAATGTGGCTGGCAGATTTTTATAGTATGCCAATGACCTAAGTTTTGTGTTGTAATGTTAAGTGTAGGCCTTAGCAAAAGTGTTACCAGGCCCAGTAGCAGCATTCATTAATAGGTTGTTTGTTTGGGTTTGTTTTGTTTTTTTTTGGGGGGGGGGGGGTTCTAAAGGGAGGATTCCTGTGCCTGTTGACATGAAGGTTCAGCCAGTGTTTACATCCTAAGTCTTTATTAATGCATTTTAGGTATAAAAGGTTACAATACGAATATAGTTTTGCCCGTTAAGAAACTGTTTATGCTACTCCTGATGTGTTAGAATGTTTTTGATACAAGCAAGCAAAACTTACTTTCCCAAAACCGTGATTTTTTTCATCTATTCTAGATTATGTACATTAAATTTCTCAATTAAAAAAGATTGATTTTTCTGTTACATGATGCTCTGTTTTATTGGCTTTAAATATTAATTTAAGCTGCTCTGCCAAGTAGTTCAAAACAATGATGGCCAAGAAACTGAGATTAACGGAGAGTTGTGAGAATTAACTATGTACTGTTTATTCAAGAAAAATAGTAAGAAATGTGGATAGATAAAAATATTAATAAAATGGAGAATTTAAGAGATCTATTAATTTGGAAAATGGGTTAAGCAATCGGTATTGCTTAATATCCTGTATTGTTGTTGTATGTGTGAGCACGCATAAAAAAAAGGATACGTTTAATTAGCTTCTCTTATTGTTCACACCCACGGGCTCACACTTCTTTTGTTTTCTATTTCTGTCTCTCTCCAAAATTAGTTGTGATGATTGAGAACCATAATTTCACGTGTATAAGCAAAATGATCATGCAAGCTTTTAGAAAATGTCACCCGTATCTTGCATGTTCCTATATTTTAAGGATACAGGATTAGAAATGAATGGTAAATATAGCATAACCATTTCTAAGTAGAATGTGGAACAATTTTTTCAAAGTTTACTCCTCTGTCAGCATCTTTTGAGTATAGCTGCAATATCTGTCTTCTAGCTTGAATGTGTTTGCCAAATTGAAAAAAAAAAGATTGAGGGGAGATTGCAACTGCTGTTCAGTGCAAGTTTTTTGCACCTAAAATATAACTTTTATTTTTTTTTACGTCTGTCTGTCTGTAGAGGATAGTGAAGGTGAGTAATGCTGAGAGTAAATAATCAAGGCTTAAAAAGCTCCATGAGATCTGCAGTGGTCTTCTTTATATAAGCACTGCATGTGTATTTTAAAGTTACAAGGGAGAACACATTCTTAAATAGTGATGTTAAAATAAGTTCTTCAGAAATAAGCAGCTAAATTATTTCATAAATCACTATAAGTTAGATTTTGCTTTAGGCCTTCATGTTAATTATAAACGATTTAGAGGCAGTAGGCAACAGGCAAGAATTTTTAATATCAAATCTGTTGGCTCCAAGAACACAGAAGGGTAGTTGTTTCATACTAATAAAATCTTTTTTACTTAATATACATGGTCTGGGTGTAATTTTTCTCTGCTGTGAATTTAGGAAGTAAGAATCCCTAGGAGAAAAGACGCTGATTACATAAAATGTTGAACTTTCTGACCTTAAGTCAGCATAACACTTAAGTATGTACTGACTTAAGGCACATAAGTAGACCAACTGACTCATTCTTAAATGGGAGGATGCATTAGCGCTAAAGTTGGAGGAAAAAAATGTTGGTAAAAGTTTTGTTAGAAAATCATAGAATCATAGAAGTAGGGTCCAAAGGGACCTTGTAGATCTTCAAGTCCAACCTCCTGCCTGGGCAGGAGGAAAACTGGGCTCAAATGACCCCAGCCAGGTAGGCATCAAACCTCTTCTTAAAGACCCCCAGGTTAGGAGCCAGCACCACATCCCTTGGAAGTTGGTTCCAGATCCTAGCTGCCCTGACTGTGAAGTAGTTCCTACGGGTGTCTAATCTAAACCTACTCTCCAACAACTTGTGGCCGTTATTCCTTGTTATCCCAGAGGGCGCTAGGGGAAACAAGGTCTCCCCTAAACCCTTTTGGTCCCCCCTAGTGAGTTTATAGATGGTCACCAGGTCCCCCCTCAGCCTTCTCTTGTGAAGGCTGAACAGGTTCAGGTCCTGTAGCCTCTCATTGTAGGGTCTGCCCTGCTGTCCCCGGATCATGTGGGTGGCCCTCCTCTGGACCCTCTCAATGTTGTCCACATCCTTCTTGAAGTGGGGTGCCCAGAACTGGACACAGTACTCCAGCTGTGGCCTGACTAGTGTCACGTAGAGGGGGAGGATCACC